GTTTATTCATTCATTCATGGTTGGTTGGTGGTTGATTCATTCATTCCTTCATTCATTCATTCATGGTTAGTTGGTTTATTCATTCATTCATGGTTGGTTGGTTCATTCGTTGGTGGGTTGGTTGGTTGGTTGGTTTATTCATTCATTCATGGTGGGTTGGTTCTTCCGTTCATTCATGGTTGGATGGTTGGTTTATCATTCATTCATTCATTGTTAGTTGGTTCATTCATTCATTCATGGTTGGTTGGTTGATTCATTCATTCATTCAAGGTTGGTTGGTTCATTCATTCATTGTTAGTTGGCTTATTTATTTATTCATTCATTCATGGTTGGTTGGTTCATTCGTTGGTGGGTTGGTTGGTTGGTTGGTTTATTCATTCATTCATGGTGGGTTGGTTCTTCCGTTCATTCATGGTTGGATGGTTGGTTTATCATTCATTCATTCATTGTTAGTTGGTTCATTCATTCATTCATGGTTGGTTGGTTGATTCATTCATTCATTCAAGGTTGGTTGGTTCATTCATTCATTGTTAGTTGGCTTATTTATTTATTCATTCATTCATGGTTGGTTGGTTGATTCATTCATTCATTCAAGGTTGGTTGGTTCATTCATTCATTGTTAGTTGGCTTATTTATTTATTCATTCATTCATGGTTGGTTGGTTGATTCATTCATTCATTGATTGGTTGGTTTATTTAGTTATTCATTCATGGTGGGTTGGTTCTTCCGTTCATTCATGGTTGGTTGTTTGGTTGATCATTCATTCATTCATTGTTCGTTGGTTGGTTTATTTATTCATTTATTTCTTCCTGCTTTCTCCTACCTGCCTGTTCTCTGCCCCCATAGAAGTGAGACGCCCCAACTATTCACGGTTCTGCCAGAGAAGCGGATGCCAACGGTTGGGGGTGCCATGATGGGATCCACACACATCTATGACATGGCCACGGTAAGGATTGGGTCGGTCTCTCTTTTTTGCTTGAGATGGGCTTTTTACAGATAGTCCTCGACTTACGACCTCAACGGAGCCCAGTTGCCAAGTGAGGAATTTGTTGACTTTTGCCCCATTTTATGACTTTCCATGCCCCATTGGGGAAGTGCATCACTGCAGTTGCTAAATGAGTAACACGGTTGTTAAGTGAACCGGGCTTCCCAGTTCGATTTTGCTTGTCAGTAGGTCGCAAGACTTGATCGCGTGACTCCCAGGTCACTGCGACCGTCATAAATGTGAGCCAGTTGCCAAGCATCTGAATATAAACCCCATGGGGATGCTGCAACGGTCGTAAGTCTGAATTACAGTCCTAAGTCGCTATTTTTCCTGTGCCGTTGTAACTTTGAACAGCCACTAAACGAAATTGTTGTGAGTCAAGGACTACCTGTTGAAATCTACCCACCTTCAAGCTGCCACGTTTGAGAAACACTTCAATGCAAACGTCAATCACAAACCCCCCTGTTTCATTCTCCTTTAACAAACTTTGCTTGTTAAACCAACCAAGTGCTTATGATTTTTGACACTGCTCACAAACATTGTGTCCTCTGGAGCGAAGGCGCCAGAGTGTTGTTGGCAGTGCCCGGCAGCTACAGATCTGCCCTTAAACTGTCCAGCAGTCCATCGTAGCTTAAAGAGCTCTTACGTTCTGACCTAGTCTTCCTCCCCAGCAGCACGAAGCCGAGTCCTCATCACAATAACCCCCTTTTATTAATTGATTGTGAATTCCTCTCATTCACATCCAGCAAAGTCTTTCAAAGGAGGATTTACGGTCACAGACCTTCTCTGACTTGGAGAGCTGCCAGGCCGATCTCTGCAAAGCTTGGCCAGGAGCCTCGGAGAGTCACGAACCAATTAAGCGAACTAATTGTCTCTCCTGCAAACTCCACTCCCCTTTTGCTCCTCTTTTATTTCCTCTGGGAGGGGCCGTTCACCGTCCACCTTTGGCCTTCCTCCCAAGTCGACCCCTGTTCTTTAGCTGTTCCCTTCGTCTGGCAGCTCTGCGCATGCGCACACTAGGAACAGACTCCAGCTGTTCTTCTGCCTCACTGATATCTGACTCCGAAGGCAGCTGATAACTGGCATATGGCNGACCTAGCGGTATCCCGAAGGCACCAAGCCGCAGGAACGAGGGGGGGGGCAAAGGGTCTCGCGTTGCTTGGTGTTTTTGGGGTACCGCTAGGTCGATCAGTGGCGCTGTGCCCAGCTGAAGAGAGGGGGTGCCGGGCAGCTACTCTCTTGCGAGCAGGCTCCCGAAGAGCCGGGCTGTGTTAAATAGCTGTGTTGCTGCTGCGACAGCGCAACACAGCAGCCATAAAGTGACCACACGCGCGAGCAGCCGCCCGGCAACCCCCCTTTCCAGCCGGGCACAGCGCCGCTGACCGATCTAGCGGTACCCAGAAGGCACCAAGCAACACCCGGCTCTTCGGGAGCCCGGTTGCAAGGGAGCAGTCGTCCGGCAACCCAAAAACAATAAGCCCTCCCCTTTAATAAGCCCAAGGCCATATTTCGTGAGTCAAAAAAATATAAGACTCTGTCGTATTTTGGGGAAAACACGGTAAATTGACATTTTTATTTCAAATTCTTGAAAAGTTCTATGGCTGTAACTACCTACTTTTACAACAATCACAAATAATGCTAAATCAAGCATTGTTTTAACTAAAGTTTATTGAATAGCTCAATTTAGTTTTCCAGATAGAATAATCAGAGATTGCTTGACCAACTCCTGATATGCTTTCCCTGTATTTCTTAGTAGTAGCTAATGTTTCAAATAACTTGTAGCGATTAAGAATAGAATTATTTTGTACTTGTACAACATCATCATTGTATTCTGTGTTCTTTGCTTTTGTATTTATGGAAATGGCTTTAGATGGATTCCTGCTTATGGATGTGATTGCTAATCTGTTTACTTTTTTGTTGCTGCATGTTTCTTTTTTATTTCTTTACTACATGTGCAGACTAGGTCATTATGCATTTAATATTGTACTATTATTCCTAGATTGCAAAAGGAGAGTATTGATTTTCCCCCTAGATTATTCATTTATTCATTTAGCTTGTGTGCTGCTCAATGTAAAATGATTCATCTTTCATGATAGTAGAGATAAGCCATTAAATATATGGTAATATTTTCAATTATAATTACAAAACCACAGTACATTATCATAATAAAAGCATTACATTTTAGCAGCCTTACCAAATCATACCATAGAAAATACAAGTTGATTCCCAGACTTCCACTCTTTTCACCTCCCATGTTTAAGGAATGTGTTGGGATGAGAATGGAGGACAAGCTGTGTTTCACTAGAGGAGTTGCTGCTAAAGTTACCTTGGAGCTCAGGCTTGTAGGGCTTTATAGAGAGACATCTCAAAGTAGGTTGAAGACAATGTTATTATCATACTAATAAGAAAATTAAGCAAATGTTGACTTTTTGCTGTTAAAAAATCAATAGAAAATAACCACATATCCTAGCTGAACTATATCTGGAGTCCTCCAAATTGATATGTGCCAATACATGAATTATAGAGAATAGGGAGGCCATTGTCTTGTGAATGATAATGAATGCCAACTCACAGCAGCACCAGTCTTTCAGCAATATTTTTTAAAATGTATTTATTAAATTTCTATTCTTCCCATCTCCCCTGCAGGGTGACTCTTAGCAGCTCACACACTATAGTTGCCGATTTCCTACCTCTTCCTGCCTAACACTACCTTTAGGTACTGTTTGTGTGTATCTGATTTTTCAAAGCTGGTCCCTGTTTCATCATGGATATTCTGGAGACATTGCATGCAAAGAACAAAATGGGTCTCCCCAGTTCCCTTGGTTCTTTTAACACAGATCTGTCTTTCCTAGGTCTCTGTCTGACATTGATGGTGATGGACAGCTGAAAGCAGAGGAGTTCATCTTAGCTATGCACTTAACTGATATAGCCAAAGCTGGGCACCCACTCCCACTAAGTCTGCCTCCTGAATTTGTGCCCCCTTCTTTGAGGTGCTTAACACAAGGTGACATGTAATTAAAATTACAGAAAAATGCTAAGTGAACTGAAATTTTAAAAAACAACTATGTTTTCTTTTTCTCCTAGAAATGGAAAGCATTTGGAAAATATTAACTGTGCTCTGCCAGCTTATCAACAAGAAGAGGAACCTCCCCAAAAACTTCCAGGTAACTGGGATCCTCTGTTTCTGTATTACAATAGGGGCAGGGGTGGGTTTCATTTTTTTTTTACTACCGGTTCTTTGGGCGTGGCTAGGTGGGAGGTGGCATGTGAGTGAGTGGGCGTGGCCAACTTGACATCACTCAGGCACACTTAGTCACATGACCACCACCACCACTAGGCCATGGCCATAGAAATGGTGGCAAAAAATTTTGGGACTTCAACAGAGAGAAAGGGGGAGAGCGAAGAGTGGGGAAAAACTCCCAAAAATAGACCGTCAGAGGATTTAGGGTCTGGAAAAGCCATAAGTTTCCTAGAAAGAATTGAAGCATTCAACTTTGCAGCCTGGAGGCCACTCCTATGTTTATAAATTTGGAGGGCGAGGGGCGGAGAGAACAAAGAAGGGTGGGAGATAGGAAAAAATGAAGGCGGAGGTGCTGGACTGTGGAAGCAAGGTAGGCGTGAGGGAGGAAAGTTCACCTGACCCTGGCTTGGGACAAGGGGTGGAGGAAGAACCACTGCAACCCCCCCCCCCAACACCCCCAGGCATGGCAGGGGCCGTTGGAAATCGCAAAGCCCAGATGTCAAAACTCCCCACCCCACCGGTAGAGAAGCGCCGTCAGTGTCTGTAGGCTCTCACTTTACTCATTGGCATGGCCTGACAATCGGCCACCCCCTGGCCACATTCCAGACTCCACAGCTGATGAGCAGCCCCTCCCAAACATGCCGCTGCTGTAGATTGTGCCGCCGCCTGTAAAAAGCTGAGAATCAGCTGGTGTTGGCACCGGGGAGCTGTCCACCAGCAAGACGGACCTCTCCATGCCTCTCCCTTCACTACCTCCAGCCCCAGATATGGCGAGCCCCGCAGTGGGATTCGACACCGGATTACATGCGCACACTTGTGCCCTGCAGTCGTGAGTAGCACCCCCATACCACTCTGGGTTCCTCCTTTTACGTTCCGTTCTTGTGCCTTCGGGTGGAGTAGAGCACAGAGCCAGGATGTGGTGCAGGGCCTGCTTCCCTGTCTTGCTGGTGGATGGCTCCCCAGTGCCCACACCAGCCAATTCCCAGCTTTTTACAGATGGCGGCACAATCCACAGCAGCGGCATGCTCGGGAGCCGCTGCTTGTCAGCTGTGGAGTCTGGAACGTGGCCAGGGGGCAGCCGATCGTCAGGGCCATGCCGGCGAGTAAAGTGAGAGCCTGCAGACACCAACAGTGCTTCTCTACCGACATGCTGAGGCTTCCTAGATCCTGCTAGACTTTACTGACTTTTCTGACTCACGGGCGAGTGCCAGTTATGTGTGGCCAGATGTCAGCTGGCCAGCGGGTGTGGTTGCCCAGCCAAGGGCATAGCCTAAGCCCAAGCCATAAAGTGCGCTGGGAGGCAGCAACTGCCAGCACTGACTTTGTATGTGTTTGGTGTGTTTACGTTCACTCTGTTCCGGCCGTGAAAGAGAAGTAAAGACTGGAGATTTCACCAACTGTGCTTTCCTGTGCTTTCTCCCTGGTTCAGGCTGGGACAGTTTTGACCTCTGGGCTCTGTGATTTCCCACAGCCCGCAACAAACCTGGGGTGTTTTCTGGGGTTGGAGCTGGTTCTTCCTCCACCCCCCCTTGTCCCGAGCCAAGATCAGGTGAACTTTCCTCCCTCCCTACCACCCTGCTTGCATAGTCCAGTGCCTCTGCCTGCATTTTTTCCTATCTCCCACCCTTTCCTTCCCGTTGTTCTCTCCCCCCCCCTCGCCCGCCAGATTTAAACACAGGTGTGGCCTCTGGGCTGCAAAGTTGAATGCTTCAATTCCTTCTAGGAAACTTATGGCTTTCCCTCACTCTGCACTCCTCAGGCCGCCCGGTCCTTGCTTGATTGCTTGATTGGGCACATCCTGTCTCCGCCGCTCAACTTACCCATTGCAAGAATTTGATGAAGCCGAGCAGCTCCTTGGCGAACCCAGACATTTGCAGCGGGGAGCGAGCAGAGCGCAAGGGAGGCATCTCTTCCAGTTTCTCGCTCTGGGACTTGGGATGCTGCCCTCTCCTGCCACCACTGCCCTCTCCAGCATGCTGTCCCCGCCGCAGCTGCAGTGGCAGCAGCTTCAGAAGATGCTGGCCAGGGGGGGGGGGGGGGGGGGGGGGGCTAGGCTAGCTCAAATGCTTACCTGTGTAGGCAGGAGGAGGCAGTTCTGTGGATGCACATGGTGAAGGCAAGGCAGGGTAAACATCAGAGCGGGCCAGTTCGGAGGTGTGGCCAGCCAACTGTCACTACTGGTTCTGCAACCAAGGCCCAATTACCACTACTGATTCGGCCAAACCGGGCCGAACTGGGAGCAACCCACCTCTGAATATGGGATAATATTTTTGAAAAAAATATTAGTAGTTTAATTATGTTAATTATATCTCTTATTTGAGATGTATTTAGTTGACCTTGCTTTGGAAGCTGCTTTCTGAATTACAACCCTAAGCATTTCATTATTGCATTGTGCGGCTCAGGTACATTCTGATTAGAGCCATCCTTTTTCTACAATAAAAAAGGTGAGAAATAGCAGTAAAGGCAGTTGAACCTGGACAGAATACTGCAGTAGTAGCAGCAGGGTACATAAAGACCTTGAGATTTGAAAAGCCTCCCAAATAAATTAAATGTACCTTCATTAGTCTTCCTTTGGTTATTGGATGGTTTCTAACATAATCCATCTCTTAAAAATAATTGAGAAGAATATGACCTGATCAGTGTTTATAGTTCAGTGCCATTCACTGTTCTTTAATCTAGTTACCTTTGAGGATAAGAGGAAGGCAAACTATGAAAGAGGCAACCTGGAGCTGGAGAAACGGCGCCAAATGCTCCTTGAGCAGCAGCAAAGAGAGATGGAGCGTAAAGCACAGAAGGAAAGAGAAGAAAAGGAGCGAAGAGAAAGGGAGCGGAAGGAACTGGAGCAGAAGAAACAACTTGAGCTAGAAAGGCGCTTGGAAAAACAACAAGAGATGGAGAAACAAAGAGAGGAAGAACGGAAAAGAGAGATTGAAAGACGAGAGGTTGTTTTTCTAATTGTTTTAGGATTTAACCTTTGGAAAGTTTATTTCAATTTGTTAGTTAAGTAAAACTATTCCTGGGAGAGTTTAGGGCTCTTTACTTTAAGTGTTCTCTTTTAGAAAATATTTCTGTATTAATAGCTAAGAAACTGGGATTATTTTATATTTTAGCTTTTATTCTGAATTCTAATTTAAGCAGGTAATTTTCATTCAAATAAGTGGTCATTAAAGTAAATGATAGTCTAAATTTCTTAGGGTGCACTTTGTGAACCTGAGCATTGATTGGAATAAATACAAAAGTTGCATTTTATGAATAACAAATACCTTCATTTTTAAGTTTTAAAAAATGGATAGTATTCCATTATTATGCCTCCATTATTCTTCATAAGGTCAAAGAACATTGTGTTGATTTTGCTGCAAAAGATATGCATGGAAGCTTTTCTGAAAATTATATATAGAATGTACAAGAATATTTATGTTACATGCTAGTTTTTTTTAATATGCATTATTTTTATCTAAACCTTTTTTCCCAAGGTTCTGAATTACTGTCTTTAATTAAAACAATAAATGAATATAATATTATTAATTGTTCTATTATTACATAAGCATTGAAGCTGATAATTTAGGTATTTTATTTTCAGGCAGCTAAACAAGAACTTGAGCGTCAAAGACGGCTTGAATGGGAGAGGATTCGTCGTCAAGACCTTCTTAAACAACGTAATAGAGAACAGGAGGAAATTGTGAAGTTATCTTCTAAAAAAAAGAGTCTTAATCTTGAACTTGATGCACTGGTGAGTCACATAATGCACAAAAGTATAGCATTACAAGTAAACATTCTGTTTTAACTCAATTGTTTTCCTGTGACTTCTATATCTCTTGTCTAATTGCTTTAATTGTAAATAAATTGAAGATTTATTTATTTTTTTGCTTCTATGGTGTCATTTCCTCACTTCTCATATTGAAGTTAAGAGTAATCATTTATAGAGACAAAGCAACTAAAGGGCAGCATTAGCAGATTTAAAGAAGCTTTCAGCTGTATGGAACTATATATACCCCGTTTCCCCGAAAATAAGACCCAACAATAAACCTTAGCGTGATTTTTCAGGATACTGGTAATTTAAGCCCTACCCCCAAAGTAATCCGCAGTTAAGATCATCAACCAGACAGGCACATTTAGTACCGTATTTTCCCCAAAATAAGCCCAAATGCATTTTTTGGAGCAAAAATTAATTTAAGACCTGGTCTTATTTTCAGGGAAACACGGGTAGTAACTGTGTAGGAGGGAAAAACCTTGGTTAGTATTTCTTCAACTATGTTTTATTTATTCATTTCAATAACATTTATCTTTGAAGTATAGTGATGTTATTTCTCGTATTATTCAATTTACACCCTTCCACTTAGAAACAACTGAAATTATTAGTTCACCATAAAAACCTCCCTGCGTCCNGCCAGCCCCCTCTCCAGCCATCCCTGCCGCCGGCCGCCTCGTGGCTGCGCTGCGCCTGGACCGGCTCCTGCGCCCTGGACCAGCCGATCCCATCCCATCCTCGCTGCTGCCGCTTCTTCTTCTGCCTTCAGCATCCCCCGCTCCCCGCCATCCCCTGCTTTCCCCGGGGGAGAGGAGGGGGCGGCCCCGCGCGAGGCTTGGCCCACCTCTTGAGGGGGAGGGGGTCCAGATCTCGCCCCCCCCTGCCCCATCGCAGCCCCTTCCGCAGTGGGAGGGTAGGTGGGAAAGAAGCCAGGTGCCTGGCTGAGCATCCTTTGCCCCGCCAGCGGTGGGTTGCTGGGGTGAGTGGGGGATCGCTTCCCTCTCTCTCCTCCCAGCCCCCCTCCCCGGGGGAAGGGGGGGCTTTCTGCCTCTGGATTCCTCGGAAGGAGAGCTGCGGGGGTCTCGCCGACGTTCCGGAATGTGGGGAGGGGGACGGGGATCCCGATCTGTATGGTAAACTGGTAAATTGACCAAAAAAAGGAAAGAAAGGGGGGAAAAAACTGCGGGGAGGAGAAAAGAAAGGAAGGCAACCCCCTTCATCCACCTCCTGTGGATCCCCGATCTTGGGATCTCACCCCGGGTAGATTTCCTCGATCCCTGCAGCGGATCTGCAGGCCTGCGGAGGGGAACGCGGGAGAAGAACAGGGAAGGTTGCACGCACGGCAGGTAAGTTTAACTCGAAGCCCCCTTTCCCCCCTTTCTCATCACCCCCTCCCCTCAAAGATAGGGCTGGGGTACAGCTGGAGGAAAGGGCTCCCAGGGCTGCTGGACCCCCAAGGCCCATCATCCACAGCCGGGGAAGGGGCTGCAGAGGGGATTCACCTTTGTGGATAGCAGAGAGAATTGCGGTCTGGGGCTCCCTTAAGGAGATGCTGTGAAAGGGCTCAGAAAATCGGGCCAGTTCCCCCTATGCAGGTAGTCCTCGGCTTACGACCACGGTTGAGCCCAACATTCCTGTTGTTAAGCAAGGCGTTGGTTCAGCGTGGTTTGGCCCCGTTTGACCCACCTTTCTTCCCGCCGTTGTTAAGTGAATCGCTGCAGGGCTTAAGCAAGTCGCTCTGTTGTTAAGTGAATCCAGCTTCCCCCTTTCTGGCATGGCTCGTCAGAAGGTCACCAAAAGGGGGAATCATGTGACCCCCCCCCAGGGATGCTGCGACCGTCGTAAATACGAGTCAGTGGATGAGCGTCCTAATTTTGATCACACGACCGCAGGGATGGATGCTGCGGCTGTCGCTTCCTTCCTTCTCCTGCCCCTTCCTTTCTTCTCCCTTTCTTTTTTTCTTTTTCTTTCTCTCTCTCTTTTTCCCTTCCTTCCTTCTCCTGCCCCTTCATTTCTTCCCCCTTTCTTTTTTTCTTTTTCTCTCTCTCTCTCTCTTTCCCTTCCTTCCTTCCTTCTCCTGCCCCTTCATTTCTTCCCCCTTTCTTTTTTCTTTTTCTCTCTCTCTCTTTCCCTTCCTTCCTTCCTTCTCCTGCCCCTTCATTTCTTCCCCCTTTCTTTTTTCTTTTTCTCTCTCTCTCTTTCCCTTCCTTCCTTCCTTCTCCTGCCCCTTCATTTCTTCCCTCTTTCTTTTTTCTTTTTCTCTCTCTCTCTTTCCCTTCCTTCCTTCCTTCTCCTGCCCCTTCATTTCTTCCCCCTTTCTTTTTTCTTTTTCTCTCTCTCTCTTTCCCTTCCTTCCTTCCTTCTCCTGCCCCTTCATTTCTTCCCCCTTTCTTTTTTTCTTTTTC